ATGAAAGGAATAAGGAGGCACTCTTTTCTGGTCATGGCAGGAGAGAGAAATGGGTTATGCAAAGTTTTCATTTATGGTTTCTTTTAAAAATTTACATATCATTGTATTTATAAAATACATTGAGTGTTATATTTCAAAATATCCTAGGAATAAAACAACTCATTTACAACACATAATTTTCAGCAGGATATTTTTCATGCATTACTTATTGAACACAGCTTTTTTTATTTACTATTTTTGAATTATTTATTGCTCTCTATAACTTCTAATAACATATTTGATGTTCATAGAATATATTACGAATCAGAACCTCTCAATCACTGCCAAATCTCTTCCCGATTCAGTGTACCTGATTAAAAACCTATTAGATACATTCATAGCTATAAAAACTAAAGAACCCATGTTATATGAAATTGGATTCACCGCCCATTTTTCACATACATGTATAAGGAAAAAAATCCTTAATTATTTTTTTNAAAAAATACCTTAACTATCTTGTTCCTCATTATTTCGGTTTTGTTACCGTTTGCCTTCAGAATGCCACTGAAAAAATCAACAAAGAAATCAATACCCACTTCAAATTAGATGCAAAAATGAAGCTTTGTAAATTTACCAGAAAAATAACTCCCTTCCTTTTATTTTATTTTAGGGTGTTCACCTTAAATGAAGCCTGTTTGCACCTCTTGAGTTTTGTCCTAGGCTGAAATAAGTTATAAGGGACACAGATCATTTGATGTAAATAAATTCTCCTCTTGGATCTTCTATTCCTCTTTATTCTGCCCCATTACATCAGCAGATATCCCCAGGATCAGCATTTCCAGACTTTTGTATTGCACCTGGCAATCTGAACACCAGCTGTGGACTTCACTACTTGCTCTCAATCTGGAGAAAAGATATGATGCTATTGACAACTGTACAGCAGCTGCACAAATAGGAGTTGGTGGTGGAGGATCTGGACCTTCTTCCAGTCAGGCAGAAGAAAGTTTTAGAGAATCAAATTTAGCCTGTCTTGAGTCATGTCTATATACTAGTATCACACTATCAATGGCCAACATAACACTTAGAAGTAATTATGTAGAAAATAAATAAGAATAAATTAGGAAGCTCTTGACCTAGACTCAAAATTCCATTAAAAAAATACCTTAACTATCTTGTTCCTCATTATTTCGGTTTTGTTACCGTTTGCCTTCAGAATGCCACTGAAAAAATCAACAAAGAAATCAATACCCACTTCAAAATAGATGCAAAAATGAAGCTTTGTAAATTTACCAGAAAAATAACTCCCTTCCTTTTATTTTATTTTAGGGTGTTCACCTTAAATGAAGCCTGTTTGCACCTCTTGAGTTTTGTCCTAGGCTGAAATAAGTTATAAGGGACACAGATCATTTGATGTAAATAAATTCTCCTCTCAGAACTTCTATTCCTCTTTATTCTGCCCCATTACATCAGCAGATATCCCCAGGATCAGCATTTCCAGACTTTTGTATTGCACCTGGCAATCTGAACACCAGCTGTGGACTTCACTACTTGCTCTCAATCTGGAGAAAAGATATGATGCTATTGACAACTGTACAGCAGCTGCACAAATAGGAGTTGGTGGTGGAGGATCTGGACCTTCTTCCAGGGCCACTGGAAAGAGACTTCCATCTCCCCGATGAGTTCACAGAATCATATCATGTTAATGTTTAATGTTAGTTGAAATAAAAACAGTACCCAATTGATACAGGTTAAGTTGTAGAAGAACAGTTATTCACACAAATATATGTTCAGTAAAAAAAAAAACAAAAAAAAAAAAAAACACAAGTAGTATTTTCCTATTTCATTTGTAAATTATGTATTTTTTCTCTGCATATCTGTAAAATAAACTGGACCTCTATTTTAAACAAAGTGTTCAGAGTGCTAATGTCAGCACTGAGTAATTGGATATTTTGTAATACTGTAATAAATTCCAATAATTGAATTACATTAATTGCATATGATGTTCTCACTGTAATCACATTAGCAACTAAACGAGTTAGGAAAAGTTTCAGGTTCTCAAGAATATTCATTTTATTTTAGATTGTTGTCATGAAAAGAATAAGGAGGCACTCTTTTCTGGTCAAGGTATAAGAGAGAAATGGGTTATACAAGGTTTTCATTTACGGTTTCTTTTAAAATTTTACATATCATTACTTCAGAATATCCTAGGAATAAAGCAACTCATTTACAACACATAATTTTCAGCAGGATATTGTTCATTCATTACTTATTGAACACAGTTTTTTATTATTTACTATTTTTGAAATATTTATTGCTCTCTATAACCTCTAACAACATATTTGATGTTCATAGAATGTATTACTAATCAGAACCTCTCAATCACTGCCCAAATCTCTTCCCAATGTGGTGTACTTGATTAAAAACCTATTAGATACATTCATAGGTATAAAAACTAAAAACTCATGTTATATAAAATTGGATTCACCGCCCATTTTTCACATACATGTGTAAGGAAAAAAATTTCTTAATTATTTTTTTCTCTTGTTTTTCTTTAAAGGCACTGATTCAATAGTCTTTACATATTACCAGCAATACATTATTTGTTTGTGCTTGCTTTGTTTTCATTTTTGAAAAATGATAAAAAAGATAAGAGAAAGTTTAAGATAAGAGTTTGTGCTTTGAAGTGAGACAGGCATGGGTTCAAATCTGTATACTGTGATTGACTTGTTACCTCTGAGATCTTAGTCAGCTTAGTTAACGATGTCATTCTCTGTTTACTTATCTCTTTACCACAGTTTAATATATACATTTTAAGATTGTATATACATACCTATATCTATACTGTATGTGTGTGTATGGGTGTGTGTATGTGTGTTCGTATGTATATGTTTATATGTGTATGTTTATATGTGTGCATATATATGTAGATATGTATGTACATGTGTATATATGTATATGTTCTGAGTATATATGTAGGCATGTATTATATATCTATATCTGTAGTATATGTGTGTATGTATGTATGTATACATGTATATATGTGTGTGTATATAAATATATGCCTGAGATTGTTTGAGAAAGTCTCTAAAGTCATAGTGAGCCAACTATCATGGGCTAAATCCCTGGTACTGAAAGAGAAAATGGCACGATTTGTTGTCTCATGTCATGAAACAGAATCTCCATGCCCCATCATCTATCGTATTTAGATCCTGCTCACCTAGTAAGTTGGACTCCAGTTGCAGATACTAGCTTGAGGCCATATTTGTAGCTCTGTGTACACCCATCTTAGTACTTATTTTTTCCAGCCCTGTCTTCACTCCTGGTTAGAGCTGCATAGATGCAGCTTGCTAGCCACTCCATTCCCATGTTCAGGCCAGATACCTCAAACTATACCATTAATCTGAATCCAAGACCCTACATTCCCAAGAAGTGAATGTAGATAATTAATCCCAGAGCACCTCATTTTATGTGATTTTGCATGGCCCTATCCCAAGAGCATCAGCTGAAATAGCACAATTAGCTACAAAGGAATCAATATACACCTATTTTAGTGAACCCATACTCTTCAAAGGAAATTTCCTATACAGTGTAAGTGCTTAGTTCTACTCAATCGCACGATGCCATTCCAGTCTTCACTACTGAAAGCCCACATTGGCCAGAGCCCGACCTCACCACTGATGTCTGTGGACAAATTGCTTCTTGTAAAAACATATCTCACTGCAGTGAAAAAGACTGTAGTCCAGAATTACAACCTAGAATACATTTTTTTATTATTATCAAAAGGCTTTTTCTCTAGCTTATCCTAGCTCCCACCACTCAACCTCATCATTGGGTGTAACACTTTTTTTTACAATTTCCAGCCACACCTTTTCTATGGATCATGCCCCATAGCCAACTAACTTATCATCCCGCCATTGATAGATTCCACTTTCCATGCCTGGCTCCAGAGCATAGGTTCTCTCAGAAATGCTAACGATTTCCTTGCCAATCAAGATATTTCAGACTCAATATATTTTTGATAAGATATTTTATGAGCCAATTTTAATTTAGTGAATATTTACGATTTGGGGAAAAAAACGATTATACTTGACAATATCTTGTAATAGTCTCTTTTGTATAGCGTACCACTCTGGACAATAAATCAAAAATACTACAACAGAAATAAATAGTTTCTGCATATTAGAGGTATATGGTCTAAACTAAGAACGATCATCGAAAACCTACTTATATTTATTTCAGAAAAATTTGCTCAGCATATACACTGGGGAAACTACTGTGATAAAGAGCCAAGAGACCAAAGAATGCATAAGAATCAATGAATAATTCTGGTAGGGGAATAGAACACAGGCACAGATAACTACAAAGAAAGATAGAAAATGATGTGAATCCAAAAGGAGCACACATAAGATTCTAAAGAGATTTAGAAGTCCAATGCGCTATCCATTGCGCAACGGAGCCACCTAAGATTCTAATGAAATTTAGAATATGAGCTATCATCTGAAATAAAAGGGTGATTCAGAAAAAATTGTGTAGGGGTTAATATTTGAGAAATGCTTTTTAGCTTTAGTGGCATTTGAACAGCTAAACTCAAATGTGCGCATATTTACGTGGAGATCAAAATTAATTAATAAAGAGTCCCAAGTGGATCACATTCATTTTCTTTCACAAAAATGCGATTAATGTATGTCAATAGCTTATCCGTTACCAGAAGTAATAGTGATAGAAGTTTATAAAAGAGAAAAAGAGTAATAATATGAAATATAGGAGATTAAGTGAAGGGCAAAACTGCCCTGAAAGAAATATTAAAAATTTCAACTTTAAGATAAGAAAGACATAGACATGATGTAAGGGTTGTGAGCAAGCCCACCTCCAGTGTTAGGTTCTGGCCCTTTTCTGTGGTTGAAGCCTCATTACTCACAGATTTGGGAAACATTCATATTAAATTGATTTCTCCAGCAGTTAAAACCAACAGTCAAGAACAGACATTGTTAAAGGGTTGTCATGCCCAATTTCATACTAACCTAAGCAAGCAATTTTCTGCTAATAATTTTTCTAAAGGCATTTTTGACATCTTTGTTCCTTAGGCTGTAAATTAGGGGGTTCAGCATAGGTATAATCAATGTATAGAACACAGAGGTCACCTTATCAGTATCCAGTGAATGATCTGTGCTGGGGCGCAGATAAATGAAGATGAGGGTACCATGATAAATGGTGACCACGATGAGGTGGGAAGCACAAGTGGAAAACCCTTTTTTTCTTCCCTCTGCAGAACTGGTTTTAAGAATACCTGCTACAATGCACATATAAGAGAGAACTGCTAGAAGACAGATAGCTTCCACCAAACTAGCAAAGACCACCAGAATAATGTCATGCACGTAAGTGTCAGTGCAGGACAGAGAGAAGAGTGGGGAGATATCACAAAAGAAATGGTTAATTTCTTTGGAGCAGAAAGACAGCTGGAAAGTGTTAGTGGTATGAATAATTGAGCTCAGCGTGCCACCCAAATATGCTCCAATTGCAAGCTGGCAACAAACCCTCTTGGACATAATAACTGTATAAAGCAGTGGATTGCAAATTGCTATGTACCTGTCATATGCCATGGCAGCCAAGAGGAAAGATTCTGTGTCAACCAAAGAGCAAAAAAAATATAACTGTGCAGCACAGCCATTGTAGGAAATGGCTTTCTCATCAGAAACCAAATTTACAAGTAATTTCGGGGCAATGACAGAAGAGTAGCATGCATCTACGAATGACAACATGCAGAGGAAAAAGTACATAGGGGTGTGCAAGTGGGAACTGACTGTGATTAGTAAAATCATCCCGAGGTTCCCCATCAGGGTAACAGAGTAGATAGAAAGAAACACAGCAAAAAGAAGACTCTGAAGTTCTGGATGGTCACTGAATCCCAGGAGAAAGAACTCAGTTTTCACTGTGCCATTCTCCAACTCCATCATCTAAAGTGCTTCTGACTCTGGAGTCATGACAGATCAGTAGTGGAAATATTAATAATAACTTGGAAAATGACACACACACACACACACACACACACACACACAAAAGGAAAAGATCAATATAAATAAAACAGTGATTCTAACTCCACTTGGGCATCCTGACAGCACCTACACATGTCTGCATTTAATATAGTATAGTACATACATTTTCATATTTTAAAAATTAAGTTGTAACTTACCACCTGTATTTCTTAAAGCTATTTTTTCCTTATTAAATAGCACCACCTTCAAATCAATTGCTGAACTCTAAACGTGGGCTTCATCCTTCATTTCTGCAAATCTCCGGTCTACCACCAATGTCAAATGATAGTGACTAAACACCTCGCTATACCAAACTCCGAAGCAGTAGCCTCTGCCCTCCTGTGTGTCGTCCGCGTTTATTTCCAAAACAGATAAAAGCGTGGCTCTTCCGGGTGAAGCCTTGTGGGTACAGGAGCAGAACTTTGGCGTTTCTCACTTTGAGATGTGGCTCTCCTTCTGAAGAACCAGGGAACTCTTGGAGTTGTTTGAAGTCCACTGATAAAATGGAAGGAACCAAAATTCTGAATTAGCTATCTATGTGACTTATTACCAGCTCTGTCATTCAGTAGTTATGAAAACTTGGGCAGACCGAATACTGAGTTTCAGTTTCATTATCTATAAATTGACAATGAAAGCACCTTTCACATCAAGTTATGTGTTAAATAAATTTCCTTCTTCGGCCTCAATATCCCCACTATTTTGTTCATTTACTGCTATAAAGTGGCATCATATGAATTATGGCTTAATCCAGACATTTGTTTTCTTTTTTAAGTGTGAAATCCAAGGTATAGAATAAAACCAGACAAATCCTCATGCTTACAAATTTGCTCAATTCAACCCAGGCATGTACATTAATGATAGCCTGCAAAATTTTCCTGATCTCTCTAGCAAACAAACACAAAAAACAAACTTTTACACAGGCTTATCTATCTATCCCTCTAAATTATCTCTGCTTCTCATTGTCCTTGCTGTAGTTTGTAACTTTGTAAATTGTAGATAACCAATCACAATGCAAATGGTACTTGTCCATACAAATGCACATTTTGTCTAGTATAGAGACAATTAATATCCCTCCTCACTGTGGAAAAATCCTGTTTTGTATCCATCTGTAAATATGTTTTTAAATTCCTGGTCTGTAACATTGTAATTTTAAAAATTTTCTTTTGTACATTTGTAACAGGTTAGTGAGTGAAGTAAACCAAACCTGTGAACATGATCATTTTATACTTGTATGAATAATAATTTTACGCTGTGTGTGTGCATGTGTGTATGCACACACATACTTGTTCTTTAATATCTTTTATTACACACAGATATTCACCTCTTTTAATAGCTATCTCAAAACTTCACTCTTCTACTTAAGGCCCCATCCTACCACCTTCTTCCCACACCCAGACAATAATTTATATTTTGTAGAGAAAAACATAAAATAGAAATAAGAGTATATAAAACTTTCTCCTCAAGTCATCATATAAGCATTTGAATTCATCAGTGTCTTCCTCTCTCCCTTCCTTCTCTGTGGAAAACACACCTCTCCTGTCTGAGGTTAATCTCATCAGCTCTGTGCACATCAATTAAGATGCTGATATTTTTACTAATTGTCACCATCCCATAAACTTTCAGCATATAACTATAATTAAGTCAATTTCATCTTTAGAAATAAAACCCTATATTGATTTCAATTTTTTTCCCTTCATTTTATTGCAATGTTTCCTTGCAAGTAACAAAACTGATTTTCATCTTCTCCCTTCAGCCTACTAAGGTAGGATTTTTGTACCAAGAACTTAATAAATTCTTTCTGTTCAACATCAGAAACTAAACACTATGTGTCAAATCAAATGATGTTTCAGTATGTAATGCCCTTTATTTCTCTATATTATGCCATAGACCTCTTCTTTCTTCTTAAATTTTCCATGCCTCTTGACTTCTGTGAAACTCTCTTGATTTGTCTCCTAATCTCAATATACACAAACTCATCTTCCTTCATATAAGGTGGCACTTCATTCTTGATCTACTTCTATATTTACTATGCACACCCATCCTGGGTAATTCTAGGAACAGATGGTATGTCTTTATGGTATGCCATTCTTTAAATACTATATTTACAGTGAAAGCTTTCATATATGCATCCCAAACCATCTGTCCAACTAAAATCTGACCATCAATAAGCACATTTACATTTCAGGTCAAAAATAAAATTAAATTGATACTACTTGCTACAACTTGTGTCTATTCTATGATCCCTATCTTGGTATGTGTCCACAATATCTAAACTGTTAGTCAAAATGAGTCCCTATCTTGGTATGTGTCCACAATATCTAAATTGCCAGTCAAAATGAGAAACTTTGCTTAGCTAAAAACTAATCAAGAACCATTGACTCAATTTTAAAAATATAGAAAATATTCAAGCTTACCTGTTTAATATCACCAACATTCCATTGCTTACCTCTACACTTCTTTCCCTTAATTTGAACTTCTTAATTCCCCCCTTTCCATATAGTCTCTCCCACCCTACTTTCAAAAATGCTACAAAAGCCACACATATGCCACAGTAGAGTTATCAGTGCAAAATATGTTTTACTACGTTGCCTTTTTGCTTAAACCCTTAAATGATTCTTCATCTCCGATAAGCTCGGCATTTAAATATTTTCATTTTTGACATATGTTTATATATTTATCTCATATATCCATCCCAGAAACTGGTGTAACAATATTACCAAAATCTTAACCTCCTGCTCTTCCCTCCTTTGGTTTTCCTGCTTAGAAAATATCAACTCTGGTGAAGTGACGATCCATCTGTTTCTGTTTATGTTTCTGTTTATACATGTGGTGTTCTGTTTATACATGTGGTGGACATGAATGAACAGACCAAGGAGCAGAGCAGTGGCTATTGCTGCAAAGGCCAGGAAAAGATGCAGTTATATCTCTGTGTATGCATTACATCATATACCAGTGCTTAGTAAGTGAAGGTTGGATGTAAGTACTGCTTTGTGTTTGTCATCCTCCTTTTTTATAATTGTGATGAATGACCATTAAAACTACACATCAAAGAAAGAGACTTATCTTTATGCACAATGCTTGAATAAGCTTGGGGTCTGTGCCACAGGAGAACAACTACCTCTTTGCTGAAGATATTTTTCTTCCCAAAACCCTTATTACAGAAGTAAAAGTGACAATGAAATCAATTTATATAGAGAGTATTACTTGTAATAATATTTCAAGGTTGTTGCATGCTTCAAGATCAAAAGACACTTGAAGGATGCAAAATGAAATATGAAAGCCAAATGGAATAATGGCCAGGGCATAGGAAACTAAAGATTAAGAAGACTCAGAAAATGAGCCTAATGACTTGCTCTTTAATGCAATTGGCATATGGGAATGGAGGTTTCTAAAAGAGTTCAGCAAGGTTATTACTGAAAATTATTAGTTTAAAAAAATTATTGCAATAAGTTCTCCATATTGAACTCTAGTTCTTTTTAAAACTGTTTTTCCCTTAAAGCCAACCCCTTAACCCCACCCCCATCCTGTTACTTGTGTATTGATAACTGTTTCTATCAATCCATTAACATAAGATAGAATAAATAATATTGTATTAAAATGGAGTCAGCATTAATTGATATAAAAGTCTGCTCAACTCTTAAAAAGAAATAACATATCAAGAGAGATGTATATATGTGTGTTTCCATCTAGATTCCTAATCAAAGTCCAGTAAAGTTAAGGGATGTCTTAAGAACAGCATATGCTGAATGTACTTTGTTGTTGCTGTGACTTTTGCTGGAAACACCTTGAGGATTTCAACCTATGTTATTCTAGGCACTTTTACTCTCAGAACATTAGTTTCTTATGTGTAAAATAAGTGATTAAGAAATGGTGAGCATTTAAAATTCCATCCAGCTGTAATAATCTATGATTATTGTAAAAAACTTACCAGTCACTATCTATCTTTTATTTGCATTTCTACTTAACTGTTGTGCACCCCAGCTCATTTTTCACTGGAAAAATCAAGTTTGATACTTAAAAAAATTAAAAACAAATTATTCCAACATTTACCATAATTTGGAGCAGGCTTTCTCTGTTCATAGAAGAAATGTGTTTCTCCCTTAGGTGGGCTGTTCTTCCTTAGGACAAGCGACACCTTTTAAATTCTGCTTTGAGGCTTTTGAGATCAGGTTTTTTCTTTGTTTTTTTGTTTTTTTGTCTTTTTTCCGTGTCCGGCAACGGGATTGCAACCCTCGGTGTTGCTCCCGCGCCTCGCTCAGCCAGTGAGCGGGAACCGGTCTGTATGTGGGATCCAACCCCTCGGGCGGGAGCACCGCCGTGCTTCCCAAGCGGCACACTATCCAGTGCACCACCGGGCCAGCCCTGAGATCAGGTTTTTGATCTCACATTAAGCCCCAGGAAACTAATCTCTCATATCCCAATTCCCGGTGGGAAAAGATGTATGAGCAATTAAACAGTTCCACTCAGGATTTGATTAAAC